CTCTCACATCGATGTTTCTCTCTCTCTCCCTCTTTTCCTCCCACTGTATCTGGAGATAAATGGAAAAATATCCTCCAGTGAGGATTAGGGGGGAAAAACGGAATAGAAAAGAAAGTTGTAAACTCTGATGTCTAAAGCGTCAGAAGGCCTATTCTCAGATGATCTCCTCCTCACCACAGAAAGGTTTGGAGCCATCCTGGGAGACAATCTAGGGCTTCATGAGGAGAATCCCAGTCTCTGGGAACCAGAGAAGATAATGAATGAATGGAACAGAAGCAGAAAGGCTGCAGAAGAGAGGACGCAGCCTTCCCACACACCACACACTGCCTGACGCCCAGCAGGTTCCTCCGACCTACAGCTATGATTGCCCCTGGCTCAGCCCTGCTTCCCTGGGTTACTGATTGAGATGATTCTCCCCCAGAACCTTAAAGGAGGCCATCTATGGGCAACAAATAGCCCTGGTGACATTCCCTGAACACTTCCTATCTGCTGGATGCTGTGCTGAATACAGGAACCAATAGATCCAGTCAGTTCCCTTCTCAAGGAGTTCACAGTCTCTTGTGGGAGACAGACATGTAAACAGCAAATGCTAATGCAAGTATACATGAATATTCAATAGGTAGAAACAGCCTCCGTGCTCTGGGAGCAAACAAGGAGAACTTGCCAGAAACCTTGAAAGTGGCACGGGAGAATAAGGGAAGGGCATTCAGCTGAAGGAACAGTGTAAGCAAAGACATGAGGTATGCAGTGCAGGGCTCTGTTCTCTGACAGGCAGACATCCCAGTGAGGTTAACTCCAAGCAAGTCCAAAGGGAGACAGAGATGAAGCTGGAAAAGAAGTTTGGGGTTTGGGGCCTGACCAGGGTGAGGAGTGAGATGGCCTGAGAGAGGTGGTATGTGAGCCCTGGGGACTCGTACATGGGGCCAACTGAGGGGTGTCCTGACTCCCACCAATAAAGAACATGCCCTGAGTTCACCCTTCAGACAAGCATCATCTTACCCTCCAAGCTTTCCCAGCTTGACAGTTCCAGCTCTGCCCTCCTTCCCTCCCTCAGCCTGCCCTATAAGTGGATCCAGATGGTCATTCCTATTTTAGGTCCGTGTGTTGGGGGAGGGGTAGCTATGAGCTCTATCAATCCTTTCCTGAGCACTCTTTTAGAGGAGCTTCTTCCAGGACCCTGCTGTGATCCTGAGCCTGGGAGGAAGTGTTAGTTATTGATGGAGATTTCCCATCTGTCTGTGGGTGATAGGGATGGCAGCCGCAGAGGAGGCAAGGGCACAAGCCAGGGAGGTGTTTAGAGTGGGTGAGAGAAATAAGGTGATGTATATGTGTGAGAGGGGGCCCTGTGGATGGATGGGCTTTGGTGGAGAACAAGCCTGGGGTAGGGGCCTCGAAGGAGGAACTCGCTTCTCCCTCCAGGTACCTGGCCCTCCTCATGTGCCTGCTGCAGCCATGCAGCTGCCTAGGTAAGCCAAACAGACAAAAAACCTTGGGCCCCAAGAGGTAGCAGGAGCTAGGTTCCTGCCCTTAGACTGTCTGTAGCCAGCTGTAGCCAGCACATGACATAAGCTTGTAAGTATTTGGCATTCATTCAATTTAGCAAATATTTATTAAGCAAATGCTATGTGCTAGACACTGCTAGGCACAGTGTTTACAGAAATGAACAGGGAGTTTCTGCCCTCAAGGAGTTTCCAGCTTAGTGGGAGAGTCCAATAGTACACAGCTACAGATGTGCTGTGAAGAAAATGAACAGGGTGTTCAAAGGGGAGATTGCCAGGGGCTTTCTAATTTAGATTGGGTGATCAGGGAAGGGTTCTCTGAGACAGCAACATTTAACCCGAGATGAATGGAAGCTAGCGAGTTTAAATGTTGGGGGGCAAGGGGGAATTTCAGAGAACAGTGTGCCAAGTTCCTGGGTATGAAAGAGCATGGCACATGTGAGGAACTGAAAAAAGACCAGGGTGAACAAATAAGAAAAGGGCAGCCCTGGCCGGTTTGGCTCAGCGGTTAGAGCATCAGCCCGTGGACCAAAAAGTCTCGGGTTTGACTTAAGTCAAGGGCACATACCTCGGTTTCGGTTTGGTTCCTGGCCCTGGTTGGGGTCATGCAGGAGGTAGCCAATCAATGTGTCTCTCTCTTCCTCACACTGTGTCTGAAAATAAGTGAAAAAATATCCTCAGGTGAGGATTTAAAATAAACAACACCAAAAAAAACAAAGGGCTTGACCCAGACGCAGGACCTTGTAAACCATGGTAATATATTTGTGTTTGCCTAAAGTGCTATGGGAAGCCATTGAAGGTTGTCAATTAAATGTAATACTTGTGTTAGTACTACCCAATTTGTGGCAGGCCCTAAGAAAGACTCAGGTTGTTTATTCATCCATACACACAATAAGTGCAAGGGCTAGAATTGTGTGTAGACAGTGAGAGTAGAGGAATGTCTAGGGCATAGACCTTCCTCAGAACTTGTGATTCGGAAGAGATTTGATAACTATAGTGATTACATTGAGAAGTAATGTAATTTATTCATTCAACAAACACGTACTGCACATCTAATCTATCCCAAACCCTGTGCTAGATGCTGGCTGCAGCCCTTCAAGGATCACACACTACACATGGGTCACAGGAGAGGCACAGATATACTCAAAGAATTTTGAGGTTAGAATAATTTTCAGCTGTGGTATCTATGAGGCCTTTATAAAACATCCATTCAGTAAATCAATAAATACCTAGTGGGCATCTGCTCTGTACTAGGAATTTTTTTTTTTATCCTCACCTAAGGACATTTTTCCATTTTTTTTGTTCAGATAGAGTGGGAGGGAGAGAGAGGGAGAGAGAGAGAGAGAGAGAGAGAGAGAGAGAGAGAGAGAGAGAGAGAGAGAAACATCGACATGAAAGGGACACATCGAGTGGCTGCCACCAAAACGACCAACCAGGGCCGGGGACAAACTGCAACCGAGGTACGTGCCCTTAGCAGGAACCAAAGCCGGGTCTCTCTGGACTGCAGGCTGATGCTCTAACTGCTGAGCCAAACTGGCCTGGGCTGTACTAGGAATTATGCTAGCTACTAAAATCAAAGACCTTAGAGTTCCATAGTAAAGACAGACATATCCTTCAAAATATCTTAAAATATTAGGTGTTAAAAAACAGGATATCCCTTTCACGTCGCTGTTTCTCTCTCTCCCTCCCACTCTATCTGAACAAAGAATGGAAAAATGTCCGCAGGTGAGGATAAAAAAAAAAAAAAAAAAAGACAGAAGCCTTTCTGCAGATCAGCTTTGAGGGAGGGTAATTCAATGGAAGAAAGACCTTTCCAAAAAGGTGAAACTCCCACCTTCCTAGGTAGACTTGTCCATATCTCCCTCTGGACTGGTGTTTTGTTGCTGTCTTCCTTCTTGTTCCCCTGTCTCCCTTTCCCCAACCCCAGCTGATTCCCGTCTTTTTTCTTTTCTCTTTTCTTTCTTCCTTTCCTTTCCTTTCCTTTCCTCTTTTCTTTCTTTCTTCCTTTCTCTCTCTCTCTCTCCCTCCCTCCCTCCCTCTCTCTTTTTTTTATCTTGGCATCCTTTGAAAAGCCCAAAGAATCCAAGATTTGAGCCTGGTTTCTTAAAAAAAAATTTTTTTCTTTATTGATTCTAGAGAGAGAGAAAAGGAGAGGGAGAGAGAAACATCGATGAGAGAGAACATCAATAGGCTGCCTCCTGCATGCTCCTCACTGGGGATCTGGCCCACAACCTGGGCATGTGCCCTGACCGGGAATCAAGCCAGTGACCTCTTGGTGCATGGGTCCATGCTCAACCACTAAGCCACACCGGCCTGGCAAGCCTGGTTTCTTTATATGGTTGTGTGTGATCTCAGACAATTATGTAACTTCCCTGAGCCTCAGTTTTCACATTTGCAAAACGAAGGGATAGGGTCGCATCTAATGCTGATTTACTCCATCCAGCTAAGGTAATATTCTCACTCCTGCACATTGTGCTTTGCAAGGTCGGTCTTTGCACTGCTGCACGTATCCCTCCATACCCACCCACCCACCCCCTGCCGCCTGGTAAGCATCAAGACCCAGCTCAAATATTTTCAGGTAAGCCCAGCTGGTGTGTCTCAGTGATTGAGCGTCCATCCATATATCAAGAGGATACCTATTTGACCCAGCCCGTGTGGCTCAGTGGATTGAGCCTTATCCCATGGACTGAGAGGTCCCAGTTCAATTCCCTGTCAGGGCACAAGACCGGGTTGTGGGCCAAATCCCCAGTGGGAGCATGCAGGAGGCGGCAAAAGATGTTTCTGTCGGTCTCTCCCTCTCCCTTCCTCTCTCTAAAAATAAGGAAAAAAGAAATTAAAAAATATATATATAACTCCAGGCAATCTCCCCTACTTCCACACACACCATACACAATCTCTTGGTCCTTCCTTTCTTTATGCTATCACTGCCTCGTGTGAGATCACAAAATAAAAAAGACATGGGAGACAGACCTGGGTTTATGTTGTGGCCATTCACCTCACCCCTTGAGTTTCAACTGTTTTTTGTTTTTTTGTGGTATCTGCTCCTAGCGGGAACTGAACTCGGGACTCTCTGGTCTGCAGGCCAACGCTCAACCGCTGAGCCAAACTGGCCAGGGTTTCCATTGCTCTCTTGTAACCTGTGGTAAATACCTGCATTTGCACGTCTAACCAATTTATGGGGATTTAAAACAATATACGTCAAGTGCTTGGCACCTAAGAAATGCTCAATAAACATCGCCTGTTATCACACCTTTTAGGATTGAGCCCTCAGTTTACTGAATTACAGAGTTCCTGGTGGGTCTTCTGAGCTAGACTGCGCGCTGCCTGGGGGGATCCCTTCCGCAACCGCGCAGGGGAAGCGCAAACCCACGGGCTGGCCAAGGGCGAGGGGTACAGGTAGCCCGGGCCCAGAGGCACGCGACTCCAATTCCCGGGGGGAAGGCCAAGCTGGCAGGACCCCACCTCCGGAAGTGACGCCACGCGGAAGCGGCGACGGAGCAGGGGCTGGACAGAGCGGGGCGCGCGCAGCACGGCGGAAGCGGAAGGGATCTCGCCTCTCCAGTTGCCGCCGCCACCGCCCCCGCCCAGAATGGCGGAAGTGGAGGCGCCGACGGCGGCCGAGACGGACAAGAAGCATTTTAGCGGCTGTAGTGGAGGCATCATGGACGTGGAGCGGAGCCGCTTCCCCTACTGCGTGGTGTGGACGCCCATTCCGGTACTCACGTGAGTTTCCTCCGGTATCCTCCCCGGACGGGGAGAGCCTGGGTCCGCGCGGAGTTCTCGGCCGCCTCGAACCAGTCTCTGGCCCCAAAGCACAGCAACCTTTCCCTGTGGTGCAGCCCACAGGCCTTGCCCCGCTTGGTGCCAGTGTCTGCTGACGATGGGACCGGCTCCCTGCCCTCATCGCACCGGTCTAGTAAAGGATAAAGACAGTTGTAGACTAGCGGGAGAGGTTCTGTGGCTGGGAAGCTCGTACATAAGAGGGGCCCCTAATACGGTCTGAGAAGACATCTTCATTCATTCACTGTTTTATTCATACACTGATTTATTCATTCGTGGAGCAAATGCTTGCTGATCACTTCCTCTACGCAAGATATCCTGCTGAGTCTGGAGGAGTTTGGTTGGGACCATATCTGCTCCTTGGGATGTCGACATCTGTAGGGCCCCCAGAGATATGGGAGTCCAATCCTCTGTCTTGCCGATGAGTCTGGAGATTACACACCATCTCAGGTGCAAAGTATGTTTAGGTCTCAGGATGTTTGCCTCCCAGACAAAGGTTCTTTCTACACCATTAGCCATTGTCAGGAGAGAAAGCAGGTAGTGCTGCCGCCTTTTAGCGAGGCTGCGGGGAGCTGATTTGCCCTCCTGCTTCAGCCTTGACAGCTGATAATAACCACTCCTCACAGTGCTGGGCAGTTACCGAAGCCCTTTCACACCCATTTTCTCTGAATTTCACAGCCACTTTCTGAGGTCGGAATTATCTCCTCAGATGTTGATTTTTTTTTTTTTTTTAAATCCTCACCCGAGGATATATTTCCATTTTTTGTACAGATAGAGTGGGAGGGAGAGAGAGGAAGGGAGAGAGAGAGAAACATCGACGTGAAGGGACACATCGAGTGGCTGCCACCCGCACGACCAACCAGGGCCGGGGACAAACTGCAACCGAAGTACGTGCCCTTAGCGGGAACCGAACCCGGGTCTCTCCGGACCGCAGGCCGACGCTCTAACCGCTGAGCCAAACTGGCCAGGGCATCTCCTCAGATGTTGAAGCTGAGCTTCTTGTATCATTAAATGTCTTGATCAAGTTCAGACGCCACTAAGTAAAGGCATCCCAAACTTAGTTTTCTGACTATCATAACTTTGCTCTTTTGACTACATCCTATCTTTCATCTGATGGGATAGATTTATTTCCTCTATCAAGAACAGCCAACTGATGTGGAGAAAGGATCATTTTGGGCCTTGTATGTTGCTGATCCTAAAATGACCTTAATTTTTGTCTTATGTAAAAATACTTCAACTGTTTTGTGTTTCCTTTAAAAAATTTTTTGTTTAATTCTCACCCAAGGATATGTTTCTGTTGTTGTTGTTGTTGGGTTTCGTTCTGTTTTTATTGAGAGAGAAACATCGATTGGTTGCCTCAGGTACGTGCCCCAACCCAGGATTGAACCCACCACCTTTTGGTGTATGGGACAAGACTCCAACCAACTGAGCCACACTGGCTTTGCATTTTCAAATGTTTATGCATTTGTTTAAGAATATACAAGGCGGTCCTGGCCGGTTTGGCTCAGCGGTTAGAGCGTTGGCCTGCGGTCCAGAGAGACCCCGGTTCGGTTCCCGCTGAGGGCATGTACCTCGGTTGCAGTTTGTCCCCAGCCCGGGTTGGGATTGTGCAGGTGGCAACCACTCAATGTGTCCCTTTCATGTCGAGGTGTCGATGTTTCTCTCTCTCTTTCTCCTTCTCTATCTGAACAAAAATGGAAAAATGTCCTCAGGTGAGAATAAAAAAAAAAGAATATACAAGGCGGCCCCGGCCAGTTTGGCTCAGCGGTTAGAGCGTCTGCCCGCAGTCCAGAGAGACCTGGGTTCGGTTCCCACTAGCTAAGGGTACATACCTCGGTTACAGTTTGTCCCCAGCCTGATTGGGGTCATGTGGGTGGCAGCCAGTCCTTGTGTCTCTCTCACATCAATGATTCTCTGTCTTTTTTTTTATCCTCACCCTAGGACATTTTTCTATTTTATGTTCAGGTAGAGTGGGAGGGAGAGAGAGGAACAGAGAGAGAGGGAGAAACATCGACATGAAAGGGACGCATAGAGTGGCTGCCACCCGCACGACCAACCAGGGCCAAGGACAAACTGCAACCGAGGTACGTGCCCTTAGTGGGAACCGAACCTGGGTCTCTCAGGACCGCAGGCCGATGCTCTAACCGCTGAGCAAAACTTTCCAGGGCGATGTTTCTCTCTTCCTCCCTCTCTCCCTCCCGCACTATCTGAAGATGAATGCAAAAGTGTCCTCTGGTGAAGCCCTGGCCGGTTTGGCTCAGTAGTTAGAGTGTCGGCCTGTGGTCCCGAGAGACCCAGGTTCGGTTCCCACTAAAGGGCATGTACCTCGGTTGCAGTTTGTCCCCAGCCCTGGTTGGGTCGTGTGGGTGGCAGCCACTCGATGTGTCCCTTTCACATCGATGTTTCTCTCTCTCTTCCTCTCTTTCCCTTCCACTCTATCTGAACAAAAAAAAAATGGAAAAAAAAAGATCAAGATGAATAAACCGGAGTGCCCTGTCAAAGGGCTCATGTTCCCATAAAAAGACTCACCCTCCAGCAGTAAGGAGAGAGAGACAGGTCAACTACCATCCTAGTACATGTGATGATTGCTAACCTAGAATAGTTCTAGGAATAGATGTGGCACAAGGAATTTGTCTTTGGATGGGGGATCAGAAAGGAGGCAGCTGGATCCAAAGACCTGTCCACCCCCTCAGAGATGTTGATAATTCCGCATGAAAAGCCAGGTAATAGCTACTATTACTAATAAAAACAGCAAAGATTGGATACTTACTCTGTTCTGGGCCAAACATTTTATATTCACTATCGTATTCAGTCCTTACATCAGCCTAACGAAAATAGATTGCTGTTACCTGGCCGGTGTAGCTCAGTGGTTGAGCGTCAGCCCATGCACCAAGAGGTCACTGGTTTGATTCCCGGTCAGGACTATGGGTCTTTGACAACATACTCTATACCAGTCCAGCCAATCAGATAGCAAGTATTTGTTGAACACATCATGAAAACAACATTGATCAACTACCAAGTGCAAGGAAGTGTGCTAAGTACTTCTCAAGCATATCCTATTTGATCCTCACAGTAGCCCCTCATTAAGGTAATTTTTTTTTTCTTTATTGAGTTTTAGAGGGAGAGGGAGAGAGAGAGATAGAAACATCAATGAGAGAGAACATTGGCCACCTCCTGCATGCCCCCCACTGGGGATTTGGCTCACAACCTGGGCATGTGCCCTGACCAAGAATTGAACTGGCAACCAGCTGGGCTGAGGTAATTATCATTACCATCCACCTGTCACTGACAGAAATGCGAATGAGTCACTCGCTCAAAAACAAAGTCAAGATTCAACCCAGGTCTGATTTCAGAGTCTAACTCTATTCTTTTTTTTTTTAATCCTCACCCAAGAACATTTTTGCATTCTTCTTCAGATGGAGCGGGAGGGAGAGAGGGAAAGGGAGAGAGAGAGAGAGAGAGAAACATCTATGTGAGAGAGATACATCGACTGGTCGCCACCCACATGACCCCAGCAGGGGTTGGGGACAAACTGCAACCAAGGTACGTGCCCTTAGCGGGAACCGAACCCGGGTCTCTCCGGACCGCAGTCCGACGCTCTAACCGCTGAGCCAAACTGGCCAGGGCAGGACTCTACTCTTAAATACAGAGCATTTATTTATTCATAATTTAGTCAATGAATACTTAGGTCCAGCTACATGCCAGGCATTGCCTTAGGAGCTACTCTGATAAATAGAAAATCCTGCTCTCTTGCGGCTTATATACTAGTGGGAAGAGACAGACGGTAACCATGTGAGTTACTGTCTAATTTCAGAAATTAGTTGATACTATGAAGAAATTAAAACAGCCCTGGCTGGTTTGGCTCAGCAGTTAGAGCGTCAGCCCATGGACCAGAGAGTCCTGGGTTCGGTTCCCGCTAAGGGCATGTACTTCAGTTGCAGTTTGTCCCTGGCCTTGGTTGGAGTTGTATGGGTGGCAGCCAGTCAATGTGTCCCTTTCACATCGATGTTTCTCTCTCTCTTCCTCCCTCTTTCCCTCCTGCTGTATCTGAAGATAAATGCAAAAATGTCCTCAAGTGAGGATAAAAAAAAAATGTAAAAAAGAAATTAAAACAGTAATGGGATCTGGGTGCCTGGGGTTGTGTGGTTACTCTAGAAGGCATGGTCAGGGAAGACCTCTGAAATTACAGTCAAGCTGAGGCCTAAATGATAAGAAACAGCTGTCACTCCGAAGCTCTGGGGGAAGAGTGTTCCTGGCTGAGGCAAATGCAAAATAAGCACTGAGGTGGGAGGATTTGGTGTATTTGAGGAACCAGAGGCAGACAGTGTAGCTAGAGAGAGGCACGAGGTGACTTCAAGGGATGAGGAGGACCAAACTGTTGAAAGGACTTTGAAGTGCAATGGGAAGCTATTGACGGGTGTTAAGCAAAGGAATGATGAAATCCGAATTATGTTCTTTTTTTTTTTTATCCTCACCCGAGGACATTTTTCCATTTTTTGTTCAGATAGAGCGGGAGGGAGAGAGAGGAAGAGAGAGAGAGAAAGAAACATCGACGTGAAGGGACACATCGAGTGGCTGACACCCGCACGACCAACCAGGGCCGGGGACAAACTGCAACCGAGGCACGTGCCCTTAGCGGGAACCGAACCCGGGTCTCTCTGTACTGCAGGCCGACGCTCCAACCGCTGAGCCAAACCGGCCAGGGCCTGAATTATGTTCTTAAAAAAACCACTCTGACCCCATCTGAGGTGCTCAGGCTCCAGACCTAGAAGACCTGTATCCTATAGAGAGTGATAAAACTGTCTATCTAGTCTTTCAATCCATTGGCTTCTCACCACCACTACCAATACTCTGGTCAGGATCACCATCATATGGCCAGTATTCCAGAATAACCTCTGAACTGACCACTCTCCTTCCCTCACTCCAGTCCCCTCCCGTTCTCCAGACACATGCAGCACTTTGCTGCTTCAGAGTTTTGCTTTCTGCCTGTTGACGTCCTGTTCTTTCATGGGTAAGGTTAACCGTGACCTCATCTGTGAAGTCTTTATTGACTCAGAGCTGCATCCTTGAGCTGCATCTCTCTAGGCTTTGCCTCTTACCTCCCTAGCAGGGCATAGCCTTGAGACCAGCACTGGCCCACTGGCCCTGAGAGTCTTTAAAGTGGAGCAGTCTCTCCAGCACTTGGGCCCTTGGAGCCATCGTTTTCAGACTACAGACAGATCTGTGATTCCTATATGTTTTGCATATTAGGATCAATCTAAGATTTGGGTTTTTTAAAATATTTTTTCTTTATTGATTTTCAAGAGAGAGAGAGAGAAACATTGATGAGAGAGAACATCGATTTGACACTTCCTGCATGCCCCCCACTGGGGATTTGGCCCACAACCTGGGCATGTGTCCTGACCAGGAATCGAACCAGCAACCCCTTGGTGCATGGGATGACACTCAACCACTGAGCCACACTTGCTGGGCTAAGATTGGTTTTTTAAAATGCCGATGGCACCCTGGCCGGTTTTGATCAATGGTTAGAGCATCAGCCTGTGGTCCACAGAGGCCCGGGTTCGGTTCCCGCTAAGGGCATATACCACAGTTGCAGTTTATCCCCGGCCCTGGTTGGGTTGTGTGAGTGGCAGCCACTCGATGTGTCCCTTTCACGTCAATGTTTCTTTCTCTCTCTCTTCCTCTTTCTCCCTCCTACTCTATCTGAACAAAAAATGGAAAAATGTCCTTGGGTGAGGATTAAAAATAAGTAAATAAATAAAATGCCTATGGCTTTTAAGAATTTGGACTTTTAGTTCTTGGAATACACCATGCATTTCTCCTAATCTGCTAAGCATTTCTCCTAATACTGCTTCTTCATCATTTCCTCAGGGAAGCCTTCCCTGAACTACCCTGACCAACAGATTGGTTTAAATGCCTCCCCCACCTCTATTTTTTAAGTCTTCACCCAAGGATATTCTATTTATCATCAGGTAGAGTGAGAGGGAGGCATTAATGTGTTAGAGCCACATTGACTGGTTGCCTCCCACATGACCCGACCAGGGCCAGGGACGAACTGCAACCGAGGTACATGCCCTTGACCAGACTTGAACCTGTGACTCATTGGTCCGAGGGCCAACACTCTAACCACTGAGCCAAACCGACCAGGGCCCTCCCCCACCTTAAAAAAAACTTGCCTGGCTGGTGTGGCTCAGTGGTTGAGCGTCGATCCATGCACCAAGAGTTCGCCGGTTCGATTCCCCGGTCATAGCACATGCCCACGTCATGGGTCTGATCCCCAATGGGGGGCATGCAGGAGGCAGCCAGTTGATGTTCTCTCTCATCGATGTTTCTATCTCTCTCTCCCTACCTCTCTCTCTAAAAACAATAAAGAAAAAAAAACTTACTGAGATATATGCCATAAAATGTATAAATCTTAAGTATAGGGGTCATTGGGTTTTTACATATGTATACTTAATGTCAAGATAGAGAACATTTGCAGTACCCAAAGGGCTTTCTTATGCCAGTCAGTTCTACTGTAGAGATCACCCCTCTTTCTTTTGCCTTCTAGCACTATAGACTACTTTTTTCTTTTAGGGAGAGAGGGATAAAAACATCAATGTGAGAGAGAAACATTGATCGCCTGCCTCCTGCACACCCCCTGCTGGGGATCGAGCCTGCAACCCAGGCACATGCTCTGACCAGGAATCGAACCAGGACCTTTCAGTCCATGGGACAATGCTCTGTCCACTGAGCCACCCACACCGACTGGGCTACTTTTGCCTTTTCTTGAACTTCATATGAACAGAATAATACATATGTACCTTTGTGTAAGGTTTCTTTCACCCTGCCTTACATCTGTGAGAATTTGTGTGTAGCAGAAATTTATTTATTTTTATTGTTACCTACTATTTCATTACATGGTTGTACCCCAGTTTACTTACTCATTGAGATATAGTTGACAAATAATAACATGTATGTATTTTAAGTGTGAAGTTCAATGAGTTTTGAAAAATGTTGTTTCCAGCTATTTTACACAAAGGCTATGGGCATTCTTGTACGGGGCATTCGTTTCTGTTGGGTGTATACTCTGAAGTGGAATTGCTGAGGCATAGAGTGTATTGCCAGTTTTTCAAAAGTGGTAGAAGCAATTTATACTCCCACCGGCAGTGAATGGAGGTTCCGGTAGCTTCTCATCCTTACCCACTCGATGTTATTGTCCTTTTAGTTGTGGCCATTCTGTGGGCCATTGTACTGTTCATTTGCACTTGCTCCTCTTCTGTGTTTCCCCAGCCCCTTTAGCCACCCTGTGGGCACTTATCACACCACATTACAGTCACATGCTCTCACACTGGATGGAGTGCCCCTAGCGTCTGTCTGACCAACTGAAAAACCTCATAAGCTCAGCTCCTTCCCTGTCCCTTTTCCTCACAGGTGGCTTTTCCCCATCATTGGCCACATGGGCATCTGCACATCCACAGGAGTCATTCGGGACTTCGCTGGCCCCTACTTTGTCTCGGTGAGTCCTCATTCTTCCCCGCCTCTGGAGGGTTCCAAGGCTTAAGTGGAAAGTTGGCCTGCCTTCCCGCAGTCAGCTTCCTGTCTCCCCAAGAACCAAGAAAATGCAGATAGCACACAGCCCTGGCTCTGGCCCTCTGCTCCTCACCAGTGTTTGACCACTCTACCCCTTCTCTTGTCTCCAGGCCAGGCCAGGAGGGCAGTGTGGCCAGAAGGATTCTTAAATAACTGACCCAGCCCTTTGCCCACTCCTTGGGTACTGAGACATGGGTAGGGTTAGAGGCGAGAGTGGAGAGTCAGACCATCCAGGAACCACATCTCTGGATCCTCAGAAGGTGGGAGTCACAAGGCGGGGGCCCAGGGGAGGCTGATATGGTTCCCTGGGTGTGGCCATGGAGAAGAGGGGGTGGGCCTTCTACAACGAATCAACCATTCTCGGGTCTTTTGCGGGGATGTGCCCAAGATAAGTGTAGTGGGCTTGTCCCAGATGCACAGGCAGCATCCTGTCTATATCAAGGTTACAACTTCATCAATGGCTGGGATGAAAGGGTATGGTGGCATCAGCCTGTTTATATTACTAGTTGTCATGATCTTCTTAACACAACAAAGGTCTTTCATGTCCATTGTTTTCACTGTCATATACTTTTATGATAATTCATCTTTGACCAGCTGTCTGCAGGTTCTGAACCCAGAATCTGTCCCTGCATAACTCCTGTAGCACACACCTTATGTGGCAGATGTAGGACTTGGCTGAAGTGCCTCCCTCGTGGAAGGCCTCTTGAGTCCCACCCCCTTCCCTGCCCTGCTCTGAGTGCTGTCAGACTGGCAGATGCAGAGAAGGGCTTTCTGTGTGGGCACCACTTGGGGTTGGGAAGTCAAAGGGTGTCCTCATTCGTGCCACAAAGAAACTGCCTCCTGGTGATCAAAGATCAAAACTTGGTCCGGCTGGTGTGGCTCAGTAGTTGAGCATCGACCCATGCACCAAGAGGTTGTTGGTTCAATTCCGGGTCAGGACACATGCCCAGGTTGTGGGCCCATCCACAGTGGGGGCCATGCAGGAGGCGGCCAATCGATGTTCTCTCATTGATGTTTCTATCCCTATCTCCCTCTCCCTCCCTCTCTCTAAAATCAATAAAGGAAAATAAAATAAAATAAAATAAAAAGATCAAAACGTGACCAGAGTACTTGGAGAAAATGAGGCTCAGACAGAGTGAGAGAATTAACTGGGAGCCATACCAAGAGGCAGCTGTGGCTGGCACCCCAAGTGTTTGGTCTCAGCATACAGTGCTCTGTGTACTCCTGCCATGCTGCCATCTTCCCACAGACAAGCTGCTGGTGGCACTTCATGTACCAAGCCAGCCCCAGAGCAGGGCCCAGGCCTCCCTTCAGCCCGCCCGACATATCCCCTAAGTCACTGCACTTCCACCGCCAACCCAGGTCCATCTTCCGCGCTGGTTGCAGGTTCCCCTTTGACCTCTGCTCTTGTCTCTCAACAGGAAGACAACATGGCCTTTGGGAAGCCTGCCAAGTAAGTGATGAACACCCATATGACTGGCCCTAGGGCCAGGTTCCTCCTAGCTGGGTCCTTTATCCACAGGTCAGCCAGGCCTTACCTCAGTTCTTCAAGGTCGCATTTTCAGCTCCATTGGAAGGGTGAGGAAAGGGACAAGACTTGGTCAAGATCACACAGGAAGTGGCAGAGCTGGGACTCACACCCAGGTCTGTCTCACTCCAAAACTTAGACTCTTTCTCCTGCCCCTCAAGGAGCGGACACACTACTTAAGGTGTAAAAGAGGCATCGTTTGGAACTCCTGGTTGGAGAAAGTTCTGGTTGGAGAGAATAAAAACAGTTCAAGTCCTCCAGGAGCTATTGCTAGTTTGCTTTGATTTTTGGACTTAATTTTTCTCTCTCTTGGGGAGCCCACCTCAAATGTGTCTCTGTCATCTGTATGCTCAGAACAGCATCAGATGCTCTGTTACCAGAGGCTGCGCCCAGGAAGAGCCAGGGCCCAAGGAGGAATTGGTGTCCCACACAGAGGCAGTCTGTGGGCTTCCTCAGCAGGTAAAATGGGGGCCCAGGGCCTCTGAGCTGGGTGTCTGCTGCCAGGCTGCTGTTTGAGGCTCCTGACACCCATTTCTAGGCAGGAACCCCTGCACAGCCCCCTCCCAGGCCACATTGGTTTCTCACTGGTCACCTGTCTCTAGGCCAGTGATTTTCAACCTTTTATATCTCATGGCACATATTAACTACTTATTAAAATTCTGCGGCACATCAAAAGATACTTTTTTTGCCGATTTGACAAAAAAAGTAGGTATAATTTGATTCATTCACACCAGACGGCTATTGTTGTGTTGACTGTTGTCATTTTTTATTTGACAATCTAAGGGAAAAGAGGTCAGTGCCCCTGACTAAATAGATATTGCATGTTTGTTGTTTTTGTGTGTGTGTGTGTTTTTATCCTCACCTGAGGACATTTTTCCATTTTTTGTTCAGATAGAGTGGGAAGGAGAGAGAGGAAGAGAGAGAAAGAGAGGGAAACATCGACGTGAAGGGGACACATCGAGTGGCTGCCTCCCACACGACCCAGCCAGGGCCGGGGACAAACTGCAACCGAGGTACGTGCCCCTAGCAGAAACCAAACCCGGGTCTCTCTGGACCACAGCCAATGCTCTAACCGCTGAGCCAAACTGGCCAGGGCTGTTTGTTTTATTAATCCTCACCAAGGATATTTTTCCATTGCTTTCTAGACAGAGTGGAAGGGAAAGAGGGAGAGACAGAGAGAAATGTCGATGTGAGAGAGAGACACCAATTGGTCACCTCTCACACGACCCCACACTGGGGCCAGGGATCAAACCTACAACCCAGGTACATGCCCTTGTCCGGGAATCGAACCCATGACCCCTCAGTCTGCAGGGCCACACTCCAAACATTGAGCCAAACCGGCCAGAGCTATATTGCATGTTTTAAAAATTCTTCCTGCACACTGGTTGAAAATCCCTGCTCTAGGCTTTTGTGCCAAGATATTCCACTCACAGCAGCCAGAGGGCGCTCTGACCTTCCAGCACTCCCTCAGGGGTCTCACCCAGCTTGAGGTTTATGAGCTTTAGCTTCACTGGCTTCTCTCCCACTCAACCTAATCTCCTATGTGGGGACATTGAGGAGAATGCTTTCTGATGGATAAACTGCTCAGGGTGACATTCAAGTCCCCTACAACACACGGCTCGCCTGTGTCTCCAGCCTCACCTTCCAATATCCCATCACCCGGTTCCTCCCTTGATTTCTGCTACATACTGCACAGTTTTGTCTCTCTCTGTTCAAGCTGTTCCCTCTGCCTAGAATCCCACTCCCTGTTCTGTGCCTGGCTAACTCCTCTTCCTTCAGACTCGATGTTACCCCAGGAAGCCTCTCACACCCCCAACTGAGTTAGTTCATGTCCTCCCCAGGATCCACATGGCATTGGGTGTCTCACACTGTTACATCGACCTGGACCTGGCTTTTCTTTTCCTGGACCTGGCTCACCCCTGCAGTTTCAGTGCCCAGCTCAGGGCCCTGCGCAGAGTGGGCATCAGGGAACGTTGGTGGAGCTGAGCCAGTGCCAAGAACTCCCCTCTTCCTTCAGGTACTGGAAGTTGGACCCTGCTCGGGTATACGCTAGCGGGCCCAATGCATGGGACACAGCTGTGCATGACGCCTCTGAGGAGTACAAGCACCGCATGGTAGGTGAGCCACTCCTGAGGGTGGGAGCCAGGATGGGAGTTCCCTCACGGCCCGGCCTGATCCCTCCGTCCTGCATCTCCAGCACAATCTCTGCTGTGACAACTGCCACTCACACGTGGCATTGGCCCTGAACCTGATGCGCTACAACAACAGCACCAACTGGAACATGGTGACACTCTGCTTCTTCTGCCTGCTCTATGGGAAGTATGTCAGGTGAGCCATCCGCCCACCGCCCTGTCCTGGGGCTGCTCTCCCAAAGATCCCAGCAGGGCCATTTCTGGAGTCCTCCAGCCAACACAGCAGATCTGGTTGGAGATGGTGAAGGTCCTAGAACACCTAGCTGAGCTCCTGGTGGAGAGGGAGGTGGATGTGCTGAAGCTGAGCTCCACCTGGGTCCCAAGCCCAGTTCTGTCACCTGCTCACTGTGAGACCTTAGGCACCTGCCTCTTCCCTCAGCTGCAGCTGTTCTTAGTGAAATGGGAACGATGATTCTGGCTCCTCAGGGAGACTGAGTGCATAGATCCCCATGCTGAGGTCAAGTGAACAGGTAGACCCCCACAGGAGAGTGGGTGACTGCCCCACAGGGTCTCTTCCCAGCGCCAGCATCTGAGGCAGGGCTCTGGGTGGGCCCTGGTGGCTGTCTGGGAGGACCTCAGAAGCCACAGGCTCACGACCTGTGAGGTCAGAGGTTTAGTCCCAGTTCACAGGTAAGGCCCCTCAGAGAGGTTGAATGACGCACCCATCTGAAGCAGCATGCACCTCTCTAGGCTGTCCTCTAGCTGCCCTCATCAGTAAGAGCTTCTGAAAAGGAGACTCTTGGGGGTCTTTTTACAGTCCAAAGGCTTTTAGAAGTCCCCTGAGAAGTCTGTAACTGTGGCCACACACAGACTGAGGCAGAGCCAGGGTTGTACCCTGACCCCAGCCACGACGCTGTGCTAACTCTTGCTGACTCCTCCCCTCCCAGGGGACCCCATTATGAGAGCTGTGGGCAGACACTGCTCCTGGCTTTCATGCCCAGACAAGTTCCGGGTCCTCTCACTGAAGGCCTCTCCCCAGAGACGGGTGATTGTGGACGGAGCCAGTGAGGCATAGAGAAGGTGAGCATGTCTTCTGTAACCCACCCAAAGAGGTGTCACGTCTCCACCAGGAGCCTGGACTAGCTCCTGCCCAGGACCATAGTTGGCAGTGCTCTGTCGTGGGTACCAGACCCAGCCCAATCCCTTGGTTGACCAAGTTAAGGATGAGGGAGTAGTTCCAGGAGCTTCTTCAGGGACAGCAGCCCCTTCGGGTTTGGATGGATGGGGCTCTGGGTGGCACACTCACTTAGCAGGCCCTTCCCACCCGTACTCCCCTCTCTCTGTCAGTGTTGGGGCCTTCGTGAAGACCTGGCTACCCTTCGTCCTGCTCCTGGGCATCATCGTAACCACCAGCCTGGTCTTTAACCTTCGGTGATGGCTGCCTCATGGCCCTGGACCCGCCACTCCTTTCGGTTCCAGATTCTTTCTGTTCACCCCAAAAGGCCAGGATGGACCTGCTGCTGTTTTTGACCCATGAGTCAGGACTAGGTGGGAAGGAATAGGGCCGAAGACGAGCCAGGGCTAGGGGTGTTAGTTTCATGCTGTGTCTCACTGGTCACTCAGAAGTTCCCTGTCCCTCCTTCCCAGGCCGGTGACCCCGGTGCTTGAGGCACCTCTCTGTCCATCTGTTGGAAAGGCTTTAGCTTCCCTCTGTAGAGCTGCTTCTGTGCTGCTGGCTGGGCTCCCTCTGCCTCAGCTCAGTGCCTGGTCGGGGAAGGGGAGGCATCTGGACCACCAGGCAGGGCCAGAGGTGAATCTGGAGCCTAGCCTCCTGCCAGGGCTCTGGTCCTGGGGCGGGTGGGGTACAGTAGGAAGTCTCCATAAACTAGGCTACCTGGGAACCCTCGCCACTGACCTCTAGAATGGTCCGGTAGGGCTGGATGCTGCCAGAAGCTGCACTTGGGGTAGTTTGTGCCTCATCTCCTGGTCCTCCAGACCATGCCGCCCCATCTTCCCATTCTCCTAAGGCCCCCAGGCACTGGGCCCATCTTCCCCTGCACTGTGGGGCTTGGGCTCCCCCAGTCAGGCTGGAGAGATGAGTGACACTGGTGTGTCCACAGTGACACCCTGTAGATCAGAGCACTGAAAACAGCCTGGCCCTGGCCCCAGATGTGGGCCTCACACTGCTGATGGCACCCCTTGGGTCCGAGATGGGCCATCAGAGCAGCCAGCGCCATCATGGAGCTAAATGGGAGCTGTCTCCTCCCACCTGCTGTGGCTCCCTCTTCTCTTTGAGTTGTGGGAAGAGCCTGTGCTGCCCCCTAACCCCTGTCCCACAGATTCCAGTGGGGCTCCCTGGACAGAACAAAAAAGAGTTAAACTCTAGTGGTCCTTCGCCTCTGCAACTCGTATGTCCTTGGAGATCTTGAGTACCTCTGCCCCAGGAGTCTTTTCCAGTGCCTGGCTTACAGGGATGGAACATCCCTCAGGTATATCCTGCCCTGGGCCCAGCCTCTGGGAGTTTCCTGCCACTCCTCCCCCACCATCCCAAAGCTTTCTCTTCAAGGCAGACGAATATTGCAGTCCCTCCCGTGCGCCCTGTTGGGAGGAACTTGGCAGTTGGGGCTGAGCAGATTACAGCCCAGAGGTCTACAGTTTGGGATAAGCCAAGAGAGCCCTATCCCCTGGCTCCTGCCCTGTTCGTCAGTCACATTGCCAAGTTCCTTATACTGAGCCCCAGTGATCCAGTCACTGTCCTGCTCCGCCATGCCTCTCTCTGTGCCCTTCAGGGCCCCACATTCTCTCCGCACACCCTCCTCTCCAGCGGGACAGGGCAGCACCTGTTCTCCATACTTCCCACTTCCAGTCCTGTGCTTTCCACCTGTTAAAATCATGGCCTTTTTTCCCAAAGCCCAGCTTAAAAGTCACTTCCTTGGGCCTGGCCGATGTGGCTCAGTGTATGGAGCATCTTCCCATGGACAGAGGTCCCAGTTTGATTCCCGGTCAGGGCACATGCCTGCATTATGGGATCGATACCCAGTGGGGAGTGTGCAGGGGGCAGCTGATTGATGTTTCTCTCTCACATCGAGGTTTCTATCTCTCTCTTTAAAAAAAGAAAAAGAAAAAGTCAATAAAAACGTATTTTAAAAAAAGTCACTTCCTTGGTGGAGTCTTTCCTAACCTTGCCTTATGTTGAACTAGCAAAGGATTTGGTCTCTGAATCTTGAGGGCCCTTGTGTTCAATCCTGGAGATGGCCTTGAGGGCAGCTGTAGCTGTTGACCCTCAGAACCCTGGGTCAGCGTCTGTCAGCTCGTCCCAGACCCTGTGGTGCTGTGGTTTCCAAGCCTGAAGTTTCTCCAGGGCAAATCTCCCCTCCCACTTCTGAAAAATCCTGTCTTCAAAAATCTTCTTTGCATATCGTCTGAGAGTTGATTGGTGTGATGGGGGGAGTTCCAGTACATGGAAAAAACACAGAAAGAAGTTTAAAGGCTTGCTTCTGCCTAGCAGAATTTTTAATTAGCCTTGCAGGGACAGGACATAAACAGGTGCCATGAAAGTCACCCAGCAGTTTACCATGTGCCATGCTTTGTCATAAAGCCCTGTGAGGTAAATGTATCATCCCCATTTTACCAATGAAGAAATAAGCACAGAGAAGTAAACTGATTTGCTCAAGGTCACAGAGGAAAAGTAGAACCATGTTCAAATCCAGAATTTTGGCTCTGGAGCCCCGACTCGGAACCACCCTGTGAGATACCCTCGCTGGAGCACAAGGAGGGGAAGAAGGGAGGGGCTGTTTCTCCAAAGGACTGGGGCACTATGACCACCAAGAGAGAATGGATGCTGGAGACCAGAAAAAGGAAATGCTTGCGAGGTATTCCTGGGAGATGGCTGCTGCTGTCCCTGTTCCGTAAAGGGAGAGGGCGAGGCTTCCAGAGGTCATCATTGTCCCAAGGCCGTGGAGGCCCATGTGGCCCTCCAGGGAATTTAACCCAGATCTGGGACCTCTTGGCCATTTAGAGTTGCCTGGAGACTGGCCATAGTGTATAGGCAGCGGGCCTGCACCCCCAGCAGGTGACAGTGGGGAGCAGTCTGCAGTGTAGGGTTAGGGCGCACAGATGGCCAGGATGCTAAAGGGATGCAGAGTCTGCAGTAAGGCTCTAAGGACAGTTGGAGTCGGGCTGAGGGGCTGGGCAGTCCAGAAGGAGGGTGGACTGTCAGGAGATGATGAGACTTCTGTCGGTGAGAGTGTCTAAGGGAGGCTGGGCTGGTTTGGAGCAGACCTGTTAAAGGATCATAGGGTTACCTGCTGTCACCTTTCAAAGCTGAGGAATGAAAAAATGGGGTGTTGACAGGACCCTCTAACAGCTGTACAATGAAGGGCTGGAAGGGCTGGATGTGGAGGCCATAAGACCGAAGAAGAGGAAACTTCCATGAGGCTGGCAGGAACTGAGACCTGGGCGTGGGAGAGGGGGAAATGGAGGACGGATGGGAAAGGGCCAGACTTGGGGGAAGGGGCAATCTGGTGACTGGCAGGAAGCAGCAGGAGGCCTGGAGATCAGGACATGGGGGGTGTTCACAGAAGTGGAAATTTGGAAATACGGTTTCATTTGGGGGGGGGGGCAGAGTCCAGGTTGAGTTGGCAGGAGAATTACACAGAAATATCAGAATCAAAGAGAGTCACAGCTAGCCCAGCCAGTGTGGCTCAGTGGTTGAGCGTCGACCCATGCACCAAGAGTTCACTGGTTCGATTCTCGGTCAGGGCACATGCCCAGGTTGTGGGCCAAATCCCCAGTGGGGGGCATGCAGGAGGCGGCCAATCAATGTTCTCTCTCATCGATGTTTCTATCTCTCCCTCTCCCTCTCTCTTTAAAATCAAACAATCAATAAATAATTTTTTTTAAAGAAGTCATAGCTATAAAGACAGGAGATCAGAGAATGGAAGGAAATTCAGAAGCTGGAAGAGTAAAGTTTGATGCCTTCCAGGGGTGAGAGCTGCTGACAGGTGGGAAGGTGGAGGCTAGAGAAACATCCTTGATTAGAGCCAGGACCAGGGTGGGAAGGGGTGAGGATGCTGTTGGCCAACCTCCTTCCATTTTGGGAAGACTTGATGGAGGAAGCAGGTAACACATTAACCTCTCCCATGGTGAACACAAAGGATATTGCTACCCTGGCTGGTTTGGCTCAGCAGTTAGAGCGTCAGCCCGCGGACCCGAGAGTCCTGGGTTCAGTTCCCCACTAAGGGCACGTACCTCAATTGCAGTTTTCCTCGACCCCAGTTGGGGTCATGTGGGTGGCAACCACTCGATGTGTCTCTCTCACATCGATGTTTCTCTCTCTTCCTCCCTCTGTCCCTCCTGCTCTATCTGAACATAAATGCAACACACACACACATGGATATTGCTTATGCAAATACATGCATATGTGTATATTTATGAAAGGTCTGCAGGGATCTCATTGAATTGTAGTGAAAACCAAACCACCTGAAAAGGGCTTAAACCCCCACCCAGCCCCATTTAACAGATGAGTAAAAAGAGGCTCAAGCTGGGCCAGTGTGGCTCAGTGACCCATGCACCAGGATGTTGCTAGTTCAATTCCTGGTCAGGGCACAAGCCCAGGTTGTGGGCCTGATCCCCAGTGGGGGCATGCAGGAGGCGGCCAATCTGTGTTCTTTCTCATTGATGTTTCAACTCTCTCTCCTTCTCCCTTCCTCTCTCTCAAATCAATAAAGAAAAATAATAAAAAAGAGGCTCGCCCTGGCCGGTTTTGTTCAGCGGTTAGAGCATTGGCCCGCAGACCAGAGAGACCTGGGTTCAGTTCCCACTAAGGGCACGTACCTCGGTTGTGGTTTGTCCCCAGCACCGGCTGGGGTTGTGTGGGTGGTAACCAGTCGATGTGTCTCTCTCGAATTGATGTTTCTCTCTCTTTCTTCCCCTCTCTCCCTCCCACTCTATCTGAAGATAAATACAAAAAGTGTCCTCGGGTGAGGATTAAAAAAAAAAAAGAGGCTCAAGCCCTGGCCAGTGTGCCTCAGTTGGTTGGGTATCGTTCTGTACAGTGAAGGGTTGCTGGTTCCATTCCCAATAGGGGTTGTGCAGGAGGCAGGTGATCTGTTTCTCTCTCCCCGTCTCCCTTCCACTCTCTCTAAAACTCAATTTTAAAAAAATCTTTAAAAAAAAAAAAAAGATGCTCAAGAAAATAAGAATGACTTGCAAAAAAATTAATGAGGATGGCTGGACCTTGGGCTGGAGTAGGGGAGTGACCCTCAGGTGTTCAGAGTGGTGATAACATTACTGGAACCAGTTCTGATGGGGGGGGGGGAGTGGGATAACATTAGAGTCCTCTCCCTGCCCCACCTCCGCTCTTGAGGCTGGGGGTACCCTCTGATCTTTAATCCATATCAAGAAGTGGAAGGCAGGACAGGCATAGTGGAATGGAGCAGACTTGCGGGGATCTCGAAGCTTTTGTGTGGCCTTGGTCCATGGTCTTAAACAAATGTAATCTAGGAACCAAAGCAATTCTTGGGATGGGGCAGAATCTGGGAGCAGAATGGGGTGCTCAAAGGGATTCCCCGGGAGAGAGGGTGTGAGAACCTACTGCTGCGGCCAGCACTTCCCAGGAGGCGTATGTGGACATGGAGGGCAGTGGCTGTCAAAAGGAATTATGTTGAAGAGGGAACACCTGGTACTCACTATATGCCAGCTTGTGCCAAGCACTGTCATTTCCCTTGTAATGGGGTCTTCACACTCTGCTGCCCACAGTTTGCACTGGAGAAAATTGCAGCTCAGAATGGTTGAGGAACCTGCTCAAAGTCACATAATAGCAGAGCAGAAACTACTCACAGTTGTCTGACTGCAGTCCGCAATCCTTCCCTGGTTCTTAGAAAGGCTGCTAACTGCTTTCAAAGCAAGTTCCTATCAGCTCCTCAAAGCAAGTTCCTATCAGCTCCTCAGCAGGCAGGGTGGGGCTCCTACCCATTCTACAGATGGGGCAGCCAAGACCAAGGGGTGACAGGAGTTTCAGAGTAGGGGGAAAAGGGGGCAGTGGAGCTGGGGCCAAGTCCCAGATCTCTCTCTCCTGCCAAGCAAATGGGCTCTAGGTTTTCTGAAAGCAGAGGCTAGGGCGCACCCTTGGGGACCGGAATCCAGGCCCGGTTTTGCATCAGGCCCTCCTGAGAAGGTGTTTCCTCCTCCTAGTGGGGCAGCTACTCCGCTGAGCTGCCGGTTGAGTCACCCTTAGTCCCTCACAGTTCTTCTCCTGGTCCCTGAAACTCGGCTGCCAGAGGAGCCAGGGCCACCCTACAGAGGTATCCCCTCCATACTGGATCCCTACAGGTAACATGCCTCAGGACGGGGTCCCCTGCCAGTGTCCCAAGGGGCAGGCACTGCCACCTGGTAGCCTGAGCACTCTGAGACCTTGGGGTGGGGGAGGCGGGAATGTGATTGGGACTAGAACAGTCAGACAGATGGATAGGCCCTTGCGTTGACCAGTGTGTCTGTCCCATAGTGTTGAAACAGAGCAGGGAGGACCAGACACTTGATCGTGCCTCTGGAAGGACGGCGGGAAGGCCTGTGCTGCTGGGGACTCTGGGCTCAGGTGCCCTCAGCCCAGCCCCAGGAAGACCTGCAAGACAAGAGCGGGTCAGTTTTACAGACTGTCCCCTCACCTCCATAGCTCCCCACACACACACCTGGTAGCCCCTGGGGTACCAGAGTACACACCACAGCACGCGGTTCAGTTACACATACAGCACAGTAGGAAATACACAGTGCACACACCACATAACACTGTCACCCAGGAAGTCACTGAGCACATCAGACAACAGTCACCCAGTCAACATGACACACAGCAGTGATGTGATATTCACACTGGCAAAATACACAGGCTCATAGATCTTCAGCACACAGACATGCCTGCTGGACCGACTGTCAAAACAGCACAGCTCAGCAGAGACATCGCCGTGGGCTCGCAGCCCAGCCACAGAAGAGCCCCAAAGCATGCGTTTCCAACACCCAGTGCCTTGAACACAGTAGGCACGCAGGAACTAGTGTTATACGGAGCATGCAGGCATTCACACGGGCCATACAATGTGCCTGATGGAGACATGCAGGAACCCGGGCGCCCCGGTGAGGGTGGGGCAGGGGGAGAGGGCTCACTTACACTTGGACACTGACTCAGCAGGGAGGGCAGAGCGCAGGCAGCAGGCACAAGCCAGAACCTGCCTTCCCGTGCAGCCCAGCCTGGTGCCCTGGCATGGGAGGGGACAGGAGGGCTAGGGAGGAGAGACCACCCAAGTGGGCTCAGGCCATGGCTCTGCTCTGCCCGTGACCCAGTTATGGGCCCCTTGCCACGTCCACACATCCACACACCCACACGCCCCTCAGGGCTGGGCAAATGTTTTTCTTCCGGAGTCACTATTGTACCTGAGCAGCGGGCAGTTGCTTTGCCAGCACCTGGCCTCCACCACCGGGACCCTAGCCAGGTCCTGGGTCAGGGGCACGGGGGACTCGTGTGGTCAGAGCAAGGGGCCCAGGGGGTCTGGGCAGGAGGGCAGGGCTAGTAGCCAGGGTATTCCTGGTCTGGAGGTCTGTGGGAGTGGGCTGGTGCCACAGTTACCTCGTGGGGGGTGGGGGAGGAAGTTGGGGTGTGGGCTGGGGAGGAGGTTGCCTCAGACAGGAAGGCCAAATGGGCCAGGGCAGGGTGGAGGTGAAGGGTGGAGGGAGGGGACCCATGTTGAGAGGTTCCAGGGCAGAGGCATGAGCAGATATATGTATGTTCCTGTGTGCATGATTGTGTATTCATTCCCCAGGTGTATGCAGATGTAGTTCTGCCTTTAGTTAATCAAACTTTTACCAACTATCTGTTGTGTGTAAAGTACTGGCTTTGGGGGTGAGGGCCTGTCCCTACCTTCAACGAGCTCACAATCCAGTTAGGAGGGGGTGGAACTTGTGTGGGAAAGTCTGTGATTTATGCATATCTAGGAACAAGTCTTTGTCCCAGGACTTATTCTTGTACAAGTGAACCCACCCTGTGGGTCCTGCCTCTTTTTGGTGTGCATGGGCCTGTGTGCAGGTTTAAGATTATTTTAGGTCCATCTCTTGGTTTTGGTATGGGTCTAGGCCTCTGAATACATAGGGCCCTTCATGGAGGAAGAGGTGTGCGTGTGCCTGTCTGTATACAGGTAACAGTGTGCACGTGTGACTGGGTGTACATCTCAGTGTGGGCAGTTGTGTTTACATGTATCAGTGTGCATGTGTGTCTCTTTATATGTCTTCAAGTGTGTCCCTGAGTGTGTTTATGGGCTAGTGGATGCATGTGTCCATGGGTACATCTCATGCCACCTTGACCTCAGCCTCCCTGGGTTGTACCCTGCCCACCACCTAGCATATATTTGGGCAGAAACTCCAGGATGTGCCTTATATTTGGGCAGGGCTTCACCTGACCCCTAGTCTGCCCATAGGGAGACATGTGTGCCCAGTGGGAGCACTGCCCCAGCTGATGCCCCAGAGGGGCCACCCATCTCAAGAGAGGCTCTGGGCCCCACCTTACCTCCTCATGGCGCATGAGCCAGAGCCCGAGGCCGATGGGCTGTTGGACCTCAGCTTCCTGACAGAGGAGGAGCAGGAGGCCATTGCCAACGTCCTGAAGCGAGATGCCCACCTGCGCCAGCTGGAGGAGGGGCGGGTCAGGTGAGGCAGGGCAGAAGGAGGGGGGCCTCCGACACTGGGGGGCTGGGTGGCCCCACCCCTGCCCCCACCAACATGCATCCTGTCAGATATCTGAGTAGTTCTTGTTTTTGCCTTTGGGTTCCCTGCACCCCTGGCCGGCTCAGCTTATTACCTCTCCCAGGGAGGCTGCATCAGCTCCCTGCTAGCCTCCCCGCCTCCAGGCTTGCCTGCTCCAGCCAACCCCCCATACCACAGCTGGAGCTCCTCAGATCTGTCCTTGATATGCCTCGCTGAACCCTCTCATGGCTCCTCAGCATCTTGTCAGGGGCAAGCTCCTAAGCCTGGTCCACAAGGCCTCCCTGATTGGTCCCTGCCAGCCTCCCACAGCTCATCTTCCACCAATAACTACCACCCCTGACACACATACGGAGTGTCCACCACAGCCACTCAGGTGCTCCACAGTCCCTGAACTCCACCTTTCACTTCTAGGCCATTCCTTCTTCCTGGAAGATTACAGTGGAGCAGGGGACTTAGAAGTAGGGCTTGGGAACAGACAACTCCCAGCTATGTAACCTTGGGCAACTCACCTGACCTCCCCAGCACCACTCTCCTCATCTATAAAGTGGGCTAAGGAATCCTACCTCATAGAATTAGGAGGGATTATGTGTGACAGTCACTCTAATGAATACATTCTTCTCCTTTTTATCTGGAGAACTCCAATTTGTCCTTTAAGAAGCAATTCAAATGTTGCCTCCCCTGAAAAGCCCTCCTGGATTTCCACAGGCAAAGCTGGCCCTTCTTATAGCCATCATGGCACCTACCTCACTATAGTGTACTTGCCTATTCTGGACTCGTTCTCCCCACCAGCCTGAGTTCCTCCAGAGTAGGGATCAAGTCTGATTTGCTGTTGTGTCCCTGGCCCCAGGGACAGGGCCTGGCACATAGTGGGTAGCAGGAATGTTGCTTGGGTGTATGGTAACAGCTGCGGCCCCTGTATCCTCCAGCAAGCTGCGGGCTTCACTGGCAGACCCTGGGCAGTTGAAAATCATGACGGGGGACTGGTTCCAGGAAGCACGCACGCAACGGCACCATCATGCCTACCTTGGCTCTGACCTTGTCCGAGCCTCTATCCGCAGGAAGAAGAGCTCCAAGGGTGAGAGGAGATCCTCAGGGCAGGGCAGGCCTTTGCTGCCTGGGTACCCAGTACATGTGGACAAGCAGAGGGCCCCTGGGTTCTAGTCCCAGCTGCCCCTGGTACTGTGTGCTTTTGGCTGAGTTCTACCCCTTGCTGGGCTATGGGAGGTGGGTGGCATCTCCCAAGACCAGACTCTCTATGGAAGGGGGTTCACACAACTTCTCACCTGCATGCAGGAGAACAGGCTCTGGGTAGCAATAGGGAACCTGAGGCTGCTGGGAAAGAGACTGAAGAGGAGTTGGAGCCCTGGTGAGTAGGCATGGCAGGGAGGGAAGGGCGCCTACCAGTCATCTGGGTCCCATCCCTGACAGCCACCTCTCCCTGCTCCTAGGCTGCTCATAGACAAGGCCCCCCAGGAGAGGCTCAGTGAGGCTGAGGTGAGTAATGAATGACTGGACTAACTAATAAAGGAATGTACAGTGAAGTAGAAGTGGAATGTCTTGGGAAAGAGACCCAACCTGAGAATCTGGAGACCCTGGTCTGTGTCTCCGCCATTCTCTTCGGTCAAATGGGAGTATGGACCTCTAAGAAACCCTCCGAATCTCACTCTTACAGGTGAAGTAAGGACTGAGCAGGTCGAGGTCCCGGCCTCAGATACTACTGTCTCCCACTAATTGGACCCTGGGAGTCAGGCAGGGCAGGCACTGAAGTGTGAAAGGGTGTGAAGTACAGGTCCAACTGGTCCTGCAGCTGGTTGCCAGCCCTGCCCTGATGGCTGTGCTAAATCCAAAGCAGGGGCAGCCAGTTGGAGCCTCTGAACTTTAACCTTTTTAACCTTTTAACCCTTCATCACTAGTCCTCACTCTGACCTCTACCCCTTGCTTCTTTTAGGGGCCTGATTTCCCTTCACCGTATGTCCCCTCAGAGGCTTCAGATCATGAGGAAGAGACCCAAGCCCAGGAAGGTGAGTGGGAGGATGTGTGTTGGGGAGCATAGAGAGGTTGTGGGGATCAGAGGCAACTCTAAGTGGCTCCAACCACCTGTGTTGACCTTCCTTCTCCTGCGTTGGGGGAGGGGGTAGGATGGGGGTAAGGGTGGCATGTGGTCTCTATGGACGACCCCAGGGCAGCACTGGGGCCCGATTTTCAGATCATGGGGGTTGTAAACAAGTCTCTCCAAATTTGCTCAGGGCGGGCTCAGGGAGGCTAGTTCAGTAGCGTGTGCCCCACCCCAGCCCCTGGCCCAGGGGGTACACAGGTCTACCAGGAGGAGGCCGACCCAGAGCCGGAGCGGCAGTCGGGGGGAGAGGAGGAGCCGCAGCCCCGCCCAGCCCAGGTAGGCGGGAGCGGCTCGCGGCTGCTCTCAAGACCCGGCTCGGATTGCGGGCGGGGAGCGCCGTCGGGGAAGGGGCTGGGAAAAACAGGGCGCCCGCGTCACTTACCCCCTCCCCAGATCCAGGAGGCGTCCGAGATCCTGGAGAACGGGGAGGAGGCCCCGGAGCCCAGCCCCTCACTCGACCGCATGCTCAGCAGCAGCTCCTCCGTGTCCAGCCTCAACTCCACGGTGAGGGGAGACGAAGAGGGGGGCCGCCTCTCCTCCCCGCATCCTGACACTGAGTCCCTACTTGACCCCTCCCTCGCCCTCAGACCTTACACTCCAGCCCCTAGGCAAGCTACCTCGCAGGGCCCTTTACCTTGTCGCCTCGCTTTGCTCTCCTAACCCCCGTCTGAACCCTCCGCGGTCCCTAACCCCGACGTGAGCTTGCACCCCGTCCTGACCTCCCGACCTCCTCCCCCGCCCCCAGCTGAGCGGCAGCCAGATGAGCCTGTCTGGGGAGGCGGAGGCGGGTGCCGTGCAGGTGCGCGGTTCTGTGCACTTCGCGCTGCGCTACGAGCCGCACGCCGCCGAGCTGCAGGTGCAGGTGATCCAATGCCAGGGCCTTGCGGCCGCGCGGCGCCGCCGCTCCGACCCGTGAGTGCCCCAGCCGGCCGGGCGGGGCGCGAGGGGGCCTCTCTCACCGCCCTGTCCCACCACCTGTCTGGGCCTGTTTCCTGGTCTCCAAAATGGGAGTCACAACGTTCTTGGGAGGCGTGGGATTGAGTGACATGGCTCCTGTAAAGCGCTGCACGAGGCCTGTCACTGGAAGCTGCGTTTCAGGCTGTGGGTGGGGAAGCCCCCAGGCCGGGGAGGAGGTGCCGGAAGGTGCCCCCCGCCCCCCTTATCTCTGGTCCTCATCTCCCTCGCCCCAGCTACGTCAAAAGCTACCTCCTCCCGGATAAGCAGAGCAAGCGCAAGACTGCAGTGAAGAAACGGAATCTGAACCCAGTCTTCAACGAGACTCTCCGGGTAAGGCTGCGACGACGGGGCGGCCCCCTATTCATGAATCGGACGTCCCTTCCTGAGGGCTCGGGGTGGCAGGGGCAGCCGTAGAGTCATCATTGCCCGTTGCTCTAGCCCTCCGTTCTGTGCGAAGAACGGCAGGGAGTCTAGAGGAGTTAGTTCAGATTCCCGTGAACGCCCCTCGGGGCTCCTCATGCTAGGACAAGCCCCAGCCAACACTTGGGCAGCACTGAAGCCGGGCCATCGGCGGTGCTCCATTAAAGCGCACCTCCTGTCCCCCAGTACTCTGTCCCGCAGGCCGAGCTCCCGGGCCGCGTGCTGAGCCTGTCCGTGTGGCACCGCGAAAGCCTGGGTCGCAACATCTTCCTGGGCCAAGTCGAAGTGCACCTGGATACGTGGGACTGGGACTCCGAAGCCATTTGGCTCCCGCTGCATCCCCGAGTGAGGCAGCTGGTGCGTGTAGAGGGACCGGTCGCGCTGTCTCGCACTGTCTCCGGTTTTCACCCCACCGAGCTTTCCCCTAGACCCCTCAGGCTCTGCCTTTGGCAGGGCCTCCCCTCAGCCTCCAAACCAAGACCTGGCCCCCACAGTCGGTTTTTCTCGATGTCCCGCCCCTACAGACCCCGCCCTCCCTGCTTACCACGCCCCACTGGTGTCTGGAGACTGCACCCCGTTGTGGTCTCTTTGCCTTGGGCCCTGTCCCCGCTCCCTGACGAACCACCTCTCGCAGGTGTCGCCCTCTTCTGACGACTTTCCCAGCCGCGGGAGGCTCTCTCTGTCCCTCAAATACGTCCCCGCCGGCTCTGAGGGTGAGTGGCCATCCACAAGAGACCAAGCTGGACGGGCCCCTGGAGGCGGAGGACTCCTGTCCCACAATGGGGAGGGTTCTGTCCTTGGGGTGAAGCCTGAGCCGGGCCTTTCTGCAGGCGCAGGACTGCCCCCGAGCGGGGAGCTGCACTTCTGGGTGAAGGAAGCGCAGGACCTCGTGCCTCTTCGTTCAGGATCCCTGGATACTTACATACAATGGTGAGGGGCATTGGGAGCTCTCCACGTTTCCTTTTGTCTGTAGTGGAGCTCCCCATCCCCTTCTAATCACCCACCCTTGATCCCCCAGTCTGGGCTTTGACCTCTGAGCAGGGGTGAAGGGGACAGCTTGAGTCCGGAGAGTTGAGGACACCTTTGAGGATCTGCATTTCAGAGACTGGCATCTATAGGACTTGTTGGAGAGCTGAGGCTGAGACCTGGGAGGTCACAGGGGCCCTTCCATGGAGAATCTGCAAGGCCAGGCTGTGGGGCCTGCAGTTCAGTGGTTTTCAAAGTAAGCTCCGGGGGACCTCTGGTGGTGTCCCCAGCTTCTGCCCCACCTTCAGAGAGTGAAATGGAGGTAGACCGAACAGGTTCTGAGATCCCAGCCCTGATTCAACCAGATATTTTTTGCTTAGGTTTTGTACTTCTGAGAAATATTTTATCTTGTAGAAAGAGCCCAAGGCTTAAAAAAGTTTGGAAACTACTCTGGGAGACAGCAGGAAGTCAACGAAAGTCATTGAGCTGGGGAGTAGCAAAATTCCATTTCAGAGCCATTACTCTGGCAGGAGACCTGAGAGGAGGCTGGTGCAAAGGTCCTGGGGTAGCGAGGGCTTGAGGCCAGGTCTCAGGCAGGACCCTGAGGACATGGAAATTTTGAGGGGTATGGGTAGGACTCAGTGACTGGTTGGTTCTGGGGAGTATGTGAGGGTGGCCACTTTATCACAGCCCACCTCCCCCATAGCTCTGTGCTGCCTGATGACAGCCGGGCCAGCCGCCAACGGACAAGGGTGGTGCGAAGGAGCCTCAGCCCTGTGTTCAACCACACCATGGTTTACGATGGCTTCGGGCCTGCTGACCTGCGCCAGGCCTGTGCTGAGCTCTCCCTCTGGGACCATGGGGCCCTGGCCAGTCGCCAGCTGGGGGGTACACGCCTCAGCCTGGGTACTGGTGAGTGAGGCAGGACCTGGGGGCAGCCAATGCTGGGAGGCAGGGGCTTAATGTGTGGCCTTGGGCACTTTTCAACCCTTTTGTGAGCTTTGCTGTCCACTGAGAACTGCGGTGTCAGTTCATAATCTGGGACCAGGCAAGTATTCCTTGGGGCTTGGGTTATCCAACGTAACCATGACCTCCACCCTTGTCCAGGCAGCAGCTATGGGCTCCAGGTGCCCTGGATGGATTCCACACCTGAGGAGAAGCAGCTGTGGCAGACACTCCTGGAGCGACCAGGCGAGTGGGTGGATGGCCTTCTGCCCCTCAGAACTAACCTGGCCCCCAGGACATAGCTGCCTGACAAGCCTTACCAAATCCCTCTCTGGAGCCCTGTCGCAGGGCCTGCTCTTGGTGAAAACCAATAAAGTCTATTCTAAGGGCATAAAGTCTAACCAATAAAGTCTATTCTAAGCTGATGTATGCTTGGGATTGGAGGGATCGGGTGGTGGCAGGGAAGAGCGACGGAAGTGTAGGGGGGCTAGGTGAAGGCACTTTAGACTCAGACAAAGACCTTACAGAGCTAGTCCCCAAACCCCCGCATACCTCAGAAGTTGCCAAGGCCCAAAGGTACAAAAGTGTTCTGTTTAATAGTCTTTGGTGGTGCTCATTGAACTTGGGTATCTCGGTGGTTGGACTGCCACTCCCGACTGGCCTCTTCCAGTTGCCCCTGGGCCCTGGGGTGGGTGTGCTAGAAGTTGCTTGCATCTTCTCTATTCACCCATCCTTGGGTCTGGCCTCTTGCTTCTGATGCCCTCAATCAGCCTCTGGGGGCCAAGGGTAACAGCCGTGGATCCTGCTCGCTGTGCCAGGATGGCTCTCCAGATGCGGCACACCATCCCTCCCCTGGGGGTAGCAAGGTAAATGTGGCTCAGCCAGAAGGCCCTGGGCTCTCTCTGGTACCCACTGTCTACCTAATGTCCCCCTGTCCCAAGGAACCCTGGTGTCCCTGTAGTTTCCAGAGAGGAAACTAGGCAAGCCCATAGCTGGGGGTCAGGATCTGACCCGCATGATCCCACATGCATGGGTCATCCTGGAGGGCACAGGACATACCTGATGTGAGTGTAGGTGAGGTCATCTCTAGTGGCACAGGTCAGTAGGGCATGGAGGGTGAAGCTGTGGTTCAGCAGCTGGTTGTGGACAAAAACCCGCACGCAAAAACAGGGAGAGATTAAAATCAGAGAAAGATGTGTCCAGAGAATCAGAGGCTAGTTCTGTTTTACTACTAACATGCTAGGGCAGATCCCACCCCTTTCTGGGCTTTAGTTTTTTTCATCGTTATAATGGGAAGGTTATACTAAGTATTCCTCTAATGTTGAGAGGGGAAAAGTGAGAAGAGCTGAAAGATGGGCAGAGGTGGAGTCTTTGGTTGGTAGAGGTCAGAGATAACCAGCATTTTCCCCCTCACTGTCTGGATGGTGCCTGAATCCACGTTCAGTTCCTGTAGCCACTGCACCAGGCTCTGGTCCACTGTTCGAGCAGCTGTCAAGGAGAAATCGGGTGAACCCAGAGGTGCCTCCTGTTCTCACATTCGTATTCTCACATTCATATTCTCCAGCTAGTTCCTACTCACCTGGGGGCTCTGAGGCCGGGGAACAGGTCCTGGCCTCCGCATTCAACTGCTGTAGAGCTTGTTGCACTAGGGCCTGGCACTGCCTTTCCTTCTCAGCCAGGACATTTCGAAGCCTGTTGGATGGCAGAAGGCCAGTAGAAGGGAGGGTGGAGTGGGGGTGAAGCTCACACAGAGGCTATGGATGGGTCTCAGGGGCCTTACCTATCAGTCTCTGCTTGCAAGAGGCCCAGCTGCATCATCAGAGGTAGGGGGCTCTGCTCTGGTTCCCCTGGGAGCGGTGTCTGCTGTACTGGGGTCTCCTGCTGCTTGGGTTGGGACTCCTCTTTACTGGACTCTTCTGACTTGGGTGGGACTGCATCCTTCTCCACTTCTGCCAATCAGAGTGAGGTGAGCTTATGCTGGGCAAGAATGCCCATTTGGGACCCTCAGACACTGGCAGAGGGCGCTGGGAGCTCTGTGCACTGGCCAGGTAATGTCAGTCTGGGAGATGTCCATTTGGTCACATCCACACCCTCCTTCCTGGCCTGGATCAAGCCTGGTGATCACACCCCCCTGCCATTTTTTGTTTGCCACACCTCCAGGTGTCACACCCTCACCCGCAGGCAGGCAGGCAGGCAGGCAGGCAGACAGGCAGGCTCCACTCCCCTGCCTACCTGGGCTCAGCACCGACAGGGCTACCCCTACAGCACGGCTGAGCAGCGAGTCCAGCACGAACATCCAGTGTGGGCGGATCTGGCGCCTGCGGAGAATCTGCTTTACCTGGGGAGGGAGGATGGCGTCGCTGAGACTTCTAAGCCTCAACTAGAGGTGGAGTTTGAGTTGGAAAGGCCTAGAAAGTCTTTTGCCTGAAGCAAGTGGGGTGGATGGGCTTGGAGTCAAGAGAGAGGCTGGAAAGCTAAGACTGGGCAGATGTCCCTTCCCTAACGGCTCTATCTTCACAGAGAAGACATGGACTCTTTCAATCAAGTCCTTGCACATTTCCAAGCACAGGGAGTTCATTAGCTTGGGCAGCCCCAACTGTGATAAAGCTCTCTTACCGCATCAGGGAAGGCAAAGAGCGGTCCGTGCAGAAGCACAGGCTTAAGGCCCTGGGCCCACAGCTGCTCTTGCAGTGCCTGCAGCTCCTGGGCCAGCTGTCGGCGGTTGGGAGTGTGTATGTGCGTCCCGAGGCAACGCAGTAGCTGTTCCATGAGATCCCTGCCCAAACAGGAACCCTGAGAAGGAACAGAGGGGTCATCAACGGGTATTCCCACTTGAGCCAAGAGAGATGCTAGTCTGGGGCTAGGGTTGGGGGAGCCATCAGTAGGAGTCCTGTCGGTGCTCTACCACCAGGGGGCGCTGGGGCGGGCCGCCCACCTGTTCCTGCTCCTGGCGCAGATTCTCTGCCAGCGCGGGCAGCTCCTGCTTCAGCACCGCGGCCAGCATGGCCCGGCGCTGGCTCTCTTGATGCAACAGGTTCAACCCGGAACTCTCCTCAGGGGATGCGGAATCTTCGGCTCCGGGCTCCTCGGGCACCCTGGGTGCAATGGGAGCGGCCAATGGAGGGAGGCAGCAACACCGTCCAGCCACCTCCTCCCTAGGGTTTGTATCCTGGCTCTGTCTTTTTTGTTTGTTTGTTTGTGTTTGTTTGTTTGTTTGTTTGTTTTTGGTGGTACGTGCCCCTAGCGGGAACCGAACCCGGAACTCTCTGGTCCGCAGGCTGACGCTCAACCGCTGAGCCAAACTGGCCAGGGCTCCTGGCTCTGTCTTAAACGACCAGGCCTATCTCACAGGAATAAAAGAGAGAAATCTAGCACGAAGGGGACACCCTAACCAAATACAAGTAGAGCATTTGAGAGATAGGCACCAAGTGCCATCCTTGCAAGTGGTCAAAGTGCCCAGGTCCCAAAGAGGGCTTATTCTGGAGGGAAAACCAGATAAAGTGAACCCACCCCAGGATCCTGGGCTCTCACCGTAGCTGGCTGGTGTCCCCATAACTGAGGCAGCGCTTTGGGGGGCTGGGCGGGTGTTGAGAGGGTGCCTGAGGGCATGGGAATGTCTGGGACTGGGTGGTCGAGTCAGCAGAAGGAAGAGGGTTGGCTGAAGGGGCATCTGCGGGAGGAACAAGGCTGTCAGCTCCAGAGCAACTCTGCCTTCACCCCAGTGTGCTCGCTCTCTCCACCTGCCCAGTACCTGAGGGTCGTGGAGCATGTTGAGGGGAGCCCGGGCTTCGGCTCCTCTTCCCAGGCTGCAGGAAGGGGTCCCCTAACAGAGCTTGAGCACTGGCTCGGAGGTGGGGGTCTGGCTCAAAAGTTCGTAGGAGAAAGGCTTGGGCCTCGGCTGACAGAGAACTGGGCATTGGTGGATGTACCTTGTACATCCCCACCTGGAAGGGGGTGGGAGGGTAAATAAGGGCTAAGTGTAGAGGTGTTCAGGGCACAGTCTGTCCCCACTCCACCTCATAAACCAGGACCTGAGGGGGTCTCACCTGAAACATGGCAGCCTGAGGGCTCCCCAGCTCATGGAAGGGTGGGCGACCTGTGGCCATCTCGATTACAGTGCAGCCCAATGACCAGATGTCAGCTGCTTTCCCATATCCTCGTGGGCCCTGGTCAATGATTTCTGGGGCCATATACTGTAGAGTCCCTAGGGCAGGAGCAGTAGCAATAATGCTTATCTAGGCTTTATCACTACAGGAGCATCAGGGAGACCTGTCATCCTTTGGCTGCCTGTACCCGCCAAAACAGTTCCCTTCACCAATCCTGGTTGTCAAACATCTGAGTTTCCTCACTCATTTTAGGCTCCATTATCCTGATTTACATCATCCACTCTGAATTCTATCACCAACTTTGGTCCGCAACCACATTTCTGGGTTCCATTTCAGGCACTAAACTCAATGTCCTCAGCTATCCAAGTTCTAATTCTAGACTTCATCACCTCACCCCTGGCTTAGTCACCTGCCCTGGGTTTTATCCTCCATTAGGACTCCAATTCCAGGCCCAGGGGAAACATCATTTCCTGGAAGGCCCCAAGAGTTCTGCCCCAGGTCAGCATCCCCACTCACCACCCCATACCTGTTACCTGTGAAGGTCTCAGTGCAAGGTGTGATGCCTGCCAGCCGCTTGGAGGTGCCAAAGTCAGAAATCTTGAGTAGCCCACTGAAGGTGTTGATCAGCACATTGTCCCCCTGAGTAGAGTGGACATTGCACTCAGCGGACATCAGGCTGGAGTCCTGATGCTGGAACTGGACCCTATCCCAGGATTCCATCTCCTGGGAATCCCAGCCTGACCCTGTCTCCATCAACCTCCTCCTGCTGCCATCCCACTATGCCCCTCTGGGAGCTGGCACCTGGTTTGGCTTCAGATCTGAACTCTCCTTCTCTAGGGAACCTTCTTGATGTGCCCACCGAGTCTAAACTGCCAGCCTCTGTCTGGGGCCATATCGCCTCCTTCCCCCCTACCAGCAAGCCAGGGTGGGCCAGCTACAGGGTTTACCTTGATGTCACGATGCACAATTCGGTTGTCATGCAGATAGCCCAGTCCCTGAAGGATCTGGCGGGTGTAGAAACTGATGGTGCTCTCGTTGTCCTGCAGGGGTCCCCACACTGACCGCAGCAAGGAGGACAGGCTGCCTAGGTAGGTGCAGTCCAAGCTCATCATTGCCACCCACTTACTCCGGCGCACAGCTATCTGCCCAGACACACCCACACCATGGCCCAGACTCCATCACTCAACTGCACTTCGTCAGCTAATTCTGGGCTACACCACCCACTCACGCTAGAGTTCATTTCCCACAAGGGTTCTCCACCCATGCCTGGCTCCATCCCCATGTCTCACACCTTCAGTCCATCCCCATCC